AGGTCATGCCCAGAATGACATCCTGTCATGCCCAGAATGACATCATGTCAGGCCCAAAAATAACATCAGTTGATGCCAGGATGACATCATGTCCTGTCAGGGATGACATCATGTCATGCCCAGAATGACAGCATGTCACGCCAGGGGTGACATCGTGTTACGCCAGGGATGACATCATGGTTACATCATGTCATGCCAGGGCACGTCATGCCCAGAATGCCATCATGTCATGCCAGGGTTGACGTCATGTCATGCCAGGGACTACATGCTGTCATATCGTGCCTGACACCGTGTTGCGCAGCAATGATCATCATGTCGTGTGGGCAGCTTTACGTCTGTGTTGGGCAAAGCGGGCACATTCAGCTCCATAGATGTTGTGCAGATTGGTGGACTGGTCTGATGTTGTGTGCTGCGGTGATAGCCGTCCGTGGCGTGTCCTCTAAACCCATACGCCCGCCATCTGGGTTCCATGCCGGTGTAATTATAGAGAGAGTCTCGTGTTTACACCACTGCTCCAAACGTACCTCACCTTCTTATGGAGAGAGTGGTCAAAGAGTACTAGCTTGCCCACCCTCAATTCATGCTAGTAGTTTATGTGTTTGGTCATGAAAGTGGTGGGTGCAAAATACTGCGTTGATCGGCTCAATTGACCCTGTTGTATGATGCTTCGCCTGGTAAGAAGGCCTGACGATGGCGCTAGCCTTTTAAGTGTTGCAAAGGTCAATGACTAAGTGCAGCATCAGCCGAGGCTGTGGGAGAGATGAATCGCAGCGTTCACTTTGGCAATGCAGTGTCGAGCCTGCTGGCAAAAACTCGTGATCCACCCCCGCACGCACCAAGTCGAAGGCCACATTTGCATTTGATCGTTTCTTGGATTTGCGTAATGTGCTTTACATGTCATTTTGAGTCCTGCTTGTTTGCTTCGCAGCTTGATAACGATCCGAGGTTCTTACTCCGGGAGGACTGACATTGTCTGAGTTTGTAGAGCGTCCAGGGACTGCCACAATGGTTGTTGATGCATTTATCCACAGTCACGGTACTCTGGTTGCATCGTTTAGCGGTCGCACGTCCATTAGAGGCGGAATGCCTTCACGAGCAAATTGTTGCAAAAGTGCAGTTTCCTGTAAATGAATGTTTATTGCGTAAAGACGTGAGGCATCTACAGCAACACTTGGTTTCTTGCCTGCGCATGAGCCTTTTGAATCGTTGTTACATGTGGGACTTTGCTGCTCCAGTCTTGCTTCCAACGAATAACTGCACAACTTCTACTAATGTCGACTAAAACAGCGTGATGCAGGGGAGAATCAAGTTCGCCTTGATTTGAGATGGAAACCGCCTTCCATAGTCATGCACAGAGTCATGCAGTCCTTATCCGTAATGGTTCTGCAACAAAAACCTCGAAGCTTATGGGATGGTCCGGTGCAACAACGAAGTCTCACAGTTGAGCTGAGGCTGAGCATCCTCTCTTTGAAAGGCCAGCATGATCTGCAGATTAAACAGTGTGCCATTTTTTGCGCATGTATGCGCAATGCTTTTTTAATTTAATGCCTTTTTTTCAGGCGAGTCCTTGACAATTCAAGCGCCTGGAAAGTGCCTTGCTGAAGCTGATGCAACAGACTTTCTCAAGGCTTGGCTAAGTGTGTAGTGGATGGTGTTCGAATGACCACCAAACCAAACTAAGATCTCTTCTGGCTTTGCGTGCAGCTTTGCATGCAGCTTTGCATGCAGCTTCGCACCAGTTTCGCGAGGAAAAGCTGCGTCGAAATGTACCGCGGAACCTTGAGGTCAGAGCGTCACCTATTCGCCCTTTCAAGGGACTCGACATGCTTTGTAAAATTTGTGGAAAAGTTGTTTTGAACTAGAGCTCATGGGTTGCTGTCTTGCCCATCTAGGTGGTCTGTCCGTCTTGATCAAAAAATGAGGAGACACTTCGTGACGGCAAGCAACACTTGCAGCGTGCCCTGGTGGTCGACGAAGAGAGGCCACATGGGACACAGGGGCTTCCACGGCCTCAGATTAGACTAGTCCCCATTCTCGAGTGTGCTGTTCATCCACACTTGTATTCATATATTGTAAAGCTTCACACGATCTGCCGGGCCATAAAATGTTTGAAACGTCGCCCATGCCATGAATGTCTTGAACGTTTTTTTTGCCAAGTGTTTGCAGCATGGTCATGAAACGAGGGGACGCCCAGTGTTGTTCTAATGGAGTACTCCTTTTTGCTTGTGCCCAAGCAGTAGGGTTGAACACCCTTTTCAAAGCAGCTTTCATTTATCAACAGAACTACTCACTGGTCTTATTTACTGTACCTATTTGTTATGAACTCTGTTTGTTTCCGAAAGCACCTGCAAAGGTGTAAAGAGGTTCTCCGCAAAAAAACGGCTACTAACTGTCCAATCCAACCATCAATTGTCCAACCATCATCATCATCACCATCATCATCGTTATTTTTCTCGATACCTATGAGTGATGGTTGCATGGACCTCCAGATGGGTCCTGTGCCAGCATGCTTCGTGTGTCCTACGACCTCGAGAACGAGGCATCAAAAAGCATGGCCAGCTAGGAAGTGGCTTCCCGGGCCCGCAGGCTCGCAGCAGGCGCACTAACGTGTTGGGCGCGCCATGTCCTGAAATCATGCAGCCAGGATGTCAGCAAGGCGCTCAGAATCAGCGCGCTAGCTGGATCTCCTCAAAGTGCTTGACCATGTCTTCAGGCCATGTGCAGCAGCAGATGCTCTTCCTGACCAGGCGGTAGCAAAGAAAGGATGCTCCCAACCATCGACTCCTCTGAGGGTATTGCAGCGCCAGCCAAGGCAAGTGGGAGCGCAGGAGTGTAATCCTCAGCACCTGCGCATGACGACCACGTTGAAGCGTCGGCGTGAGGCACTGGGCCAGCGGCGTCGTTGTAGATCCACCAGCCACCCGAAAGAAGATGTTCAAGGTGGCCAGGACAAAGCAAGGCCCTACCCCATTCCAAGCGCGTCGAACCGATCGATTTGGAGGGAAGTGAGATCTGCCAGTCCCAGTAGAGCATGAAGGCCACGGAAGAGACTCCCATTTGCTGCTACAGAAGATGGGATTCAACAGTTGCAAAAGTGAACAAAGTCAATGACATCATGCTGCCGAAATGTTGCGGCGAGTGCAGGGTGTTGTCCATTGCCCACTTGACCAAAGTAACAACGGAGGCCCTTGTGGTTGTTCCGACTATGGCCGCGCCTCAGCTAGGTCGGCCGCAGGCATTCCAGCGTGCGGCGCAGGAAGTTGGGATGGAGGTGAGCGTTGCGCGGTTGCTGGTTTCATCCATCAGCTGCCAACGCCCCATGCAGCTGAGGTGGCGCCAAAGCCCAGACAGTCTTCAGTTCATCTTCAGGTTTGGTTTGATGTTAACCCCGGCTGGGCGTGTAGCTTCTATGGCCTCGGGGCTGACAAAGTGGCTCTGGCCTGCGTGTAGCGTGCGGCGTGCAGTGGAGGGGCATTACGTCGCGCGGCTTTGCGCCTCAGCCGATAAAGCGCGTTTGCGTGGCCCCTTGCCACTGGGAGATGGGGAACACGCGTGTGCAAAAAGGTGACGCCAAGCCGCGTTCACATGACAAAACATCTGGCTCTCCAGCGACAAGCTGTGTCTACACGCTCGCCTCCCATTCCCCCAATGGCACGGAGCCACACAAACGCGCTTTCCTCCGACGCCGCGTGACGCAGCGACATCTCAGGCGTAATTTCACCACACTGTTTGCCACGCAATACAACAACGCAGCGCCACGCCTTGTTTGCGCCGCCAATCTTTGGATGCCGCTGCGCCACGTCGTTTTGCGCGTATTTGTTGCGCCGTACCGCGCCATTCGGAAACGGGGCGCGTGCGTGTAATAAACGCTGCGTGTCGTTGGTGAGCGGCGGGATCATGCGTCAGCGAGGCTTGCGTATATAAAGCGGTGCGCCGAAATTACGTCTGCGATGTGGCTGTGCCATGTTTGCGCGGCCTTGATGGAAAGTGCGCTTGCGTGGCTCCGTGCTGTTCGGGAAGGGAAACATGATCGGACCAGTTCTGAGGCCAAAACTCTCAGAAGCTGCCACAGCTTCCAAAAGCTGCCTCTTGCGCTTTGCACTACAAAGGCGCCGCAGCTCCCAGAAGCCGCTTCCCGTACTACATGTGCACCAAAAAGCTTGCATTTCGACGACTGTTACACGACGACAGCTAAACACCTTGGCAACTTCCACCTTCGTTTTCGACAACAGTTATGCACACGTTGCAAAATCAGGCAACCTCCAGCTTGCGCAAAGATTGGTGTCGCCTTCCTCTCTCACTCTCTCTCTCTCTCTCTCTGTCTCTCTCTCTACCGTCTTCTCCTTTCTCTCTTTCGTAAATGTTTTCTTTCTCTCTTTAGGCCTGGGGCTTGGGCGCGGTTTCGCCATCAGTGGCAAGTGGCAAGGGGCAAACACGTTTGCGTGAATCGGCGCCCGTGAGCGGGATGATTGGCTGTGTCCACGAGGCTTGGCGCTACATTGTTGTTCTGCTTCTGTGGCGCACTGTCGGCAAAATGACATTTGCGATGTCGCTGTTTGCGTGGCCCCGGGCCCTTGGGAAACATGCGTGCGTAAACGCGGCGACCAGTAGAAAGAAACGTTGCGCGCGCGCGCGCGCAAACTGAACAAAAACAGAACTTACACGCATGTATTTCAACGCTCGTTTTGTAGAGGATTGTTTGTAGCCTCTTGTATTTCCATAGGGTCGGTTGCCTTCCTTGTTGGGTTTCTATTTGGGGCATGTTGAGCCACAAATTCTAATCAGGCTGTCACGCCAGCCAATGGGGCTTCATTGGGGGTTTTTCAAAAATTGCCCGGAAACCTTATTTTCCATGTTACCTAGCGATAGGGTGGGCTGAGGAACTTCAAACGACAACCTTGAACCAGTTGGATGCCCGTTGCTCGCCTTTAGAAGTCTCAGCTAGGGCGAGTTTATCACGCACTGGGTTTCGTAGGTTCTGTGCGAGGCCCGGGCTACAAATGTTTGATTCCGTGGCATCCCCTGAAGATATGAAGGTGCGGCGCTGAAAGAGCGATCGCAATTTTTTGAGTCCGAGTCGCAGTGTGTGAGGTTCCCGTGGTGGTCATTTTTACCAACAACCGTGAGGAGCGTGAAAAGACACTTGATGCGCTCGGGGCTGCAGGCAACCAATGCTCCAGATATCCTTTGTTTTTGAGTCCTGCGCCGTGTGTGAACTCATGCCAGCGGAAGGCATAGTCTTCCATGGGCAAGCTTCCATGGGGGGCCTTGGGCCAGGGCTCGCATATGTGCGTGGCTGAGTTTCCGCTATGAAAAAACATCCCCTTTTCAATTCCTTTGCAAGGCAAATATGCTACATAACTCCGCATTGCTGGCTCCGGTCCTGAAAGCTCCGCTGGCTCGACGACCTGCACCGAAACTAGGGCGAAGGGGGTGGTGTAAGGGTGAACATGCAAGAGCAGCTGCGGGAACAGTATTGAAACCATTCCTCTCGTTTTGCAGCCCCACGCTGGCTCATGGAAGACATGGGGTTGCACGTGTGCCGTCTATTTACTTCTAACAGTACGCACTGAGGAAGCCATTGCAGCCATCGTGCCCCACTGTCAGTACCATGCCTTTTTGTTGTCTCTTTGTTATGTTGCTGCAAGACTCTGCTTGTAAACATGATGGTGTAAAATAGAAGTCGCTTGATGAGCTGAGGCTTATCGTCCAGAGTTCCAGCTCATGAGAGACCTAAAGGCAAAGTTCTTTTCAGATAGGGTGTTGTGTTGGCTTCGATCTTCAGACGCACCTGGAGGTGTGAGACGCTTGGCACCATGGGCTACCAAGCAACCAGAGGCCAACAACACTTGTGGTTTGCCACCAGCGTTCCGCCTGACGTAAGCCTCGAATGTTGTGCTAAGCTCTGCTTGCACTTGGGAGGCATCACCTGACGATACTACGCTGTCGAAAGGCCAAAGCATGTCCGGTCACTGGGCTTTAGATGCAGCTTGATATTTGAGACTCGTACGTAGCTTGCTTGCTCCAAGATTCGTGTTGTCAATCTGAACCCAGATAGACATTTTTTGTTGGCTCGTGAGACCATGCCAACTTACTACGTGCGAAATGAGTGTGCCCGAAGACGTGCGTGTTTTTTAAATTAACATGTGAGCGACCGCAAAAACACGCAATGACTGATTTAGTAAAGAGCGGTCGTGAAATTCATGAATTCTGCTGAAACCTGCAAAAGCGATAGGCCCTCCTCAAAAGCGATAACCATATTTCCGCAGCTGTTGGATATGTTCAGCTATGTTGACACTGTTGCTAAAACCTGCAAAAGCGATAGGCCCCCTCAAAAGCCACAACCTTTCTCTGTGATGTCCGCTACTTGACAGTGCGTTTTGGCAGACACGCATGTACAAATATAGTACATATATATAACATGTATAGCGCATACAGTATATGAAGTATATGTGGCACACGCGCCCCCGGAACATAGGTTTCAATACTGTGTATATATATATATAATCATCCTGGAGTAGATAGAACGGACGAACTTTCAAAAAACATGTCACTCCTCAAAACCGGCCCTTCCAAACCCCATAGATAGAATATGGTTGTAGGGGCTTCTCTTCCTTTTCCTTTGTTGTCCTTTTCCTTCTCTGTTCGTTCTATTTTCTGTTCGTCTAAAGAAAAGAAAAAAGGAAGGAAAGCTTAGATAATACACACAGGAACAGAACATGAAAATAACAAAGGAGCAAATACCGGAATGGGAGGAGTTGATAAGAATCTTATCACTATATTCTATCTATGGGGTCAGTCTTCATAAAATCAAAGGGATGTCAAAAACCCTGAGTTTTTTCAAAAAGAAAATCACCCCCTACGAAAGTAGATTCTATCTACTCCAGGATGATTATATATCAAAATCGCACAGGACTGTTCCGACTGTCAGCGATGGGGCGCGCTTATTTTCCATCTCATGCCTCGAGCATCTGACCGCCCCCTGCGGTAGACGGCTGGCGTTCATGCCTGCTTTCAACACTGCTTATATTCTCTAAACAAAACGAAATGCACAGTGCTTCGGCTGCCAACCTCGTCAGGCCTTCTTGCCAGGCCTTCTAGGCTTTGAAAATCCGGCAAGTGCTGGCGCCGTCTCCGATCGTCGGATCGGCTTTCTGCTCTTCCAAATCCATGTGGTGGATATAGTTGGCGAGGTCTGCCAACTCACCACCAGCACTGCTGCGACGATTGCGCGCCCACATGAGGTATGAAAGCACCTCCTCAGACTTTGAACAAAAGAGGTCTGAGTAGCTCATGCCTTTGCCCTTGAACTTTCCAAAGCGAACCTCGGTGGTGCCCCACTGAGCAAGATTGCGAATTCCTTCCGGCAGGACGGAAGGTGACAGCTCTTGATGCGATCCTGGGTAAGGTGGAGGCAACATCTCCTTGACGTAAGCCTCACTGATCAGTGGGCTCTCATCGTCAGGGAAGCGCTGAGACCCTTTCTTGATCGACTCCTTGCGCAGCGGCAGTTGGTCATCACCAAGCCGTTTGGAGGCATCGGACATCTGGCTGATCAACTCGAACTCTCCATCGTGACTAGCCATGGGCAAGGCTGATTGCGACTTGAGCCGCGGCATCCTCATGAGTCCACGACGCGTCGCACTGACAGCGCCCGTGAGCTCTTCCACACAAAAAGCTTGAACACCACCGAAAGAGCTGCGGAGTACACAAATCAAAGCATGATGAGCAAAACTGGAAATTGGCTTGCACTACACCTAAAAAGTCAAAAAGGAGTGTAGCTACCCGGGAGCATCTTGTGAAGTTAAATACTCCCACACGATTCAAGACACACTAGCTCCCTGGCCCACCAGCAATGGCTTTCAAGGCGAATTTTCAAGAGGGTCATCGTCGCTTTGGGGTGCTGCTGAGACGCTTGTTGTCTCCTTTTCTGCAAGCGAAGCTCTCTCGCTTGGCAGCTTGCCGTGGGAACGTGTTCTTCTGGGGAGATCTGACGCGCGCCACTTCTGAGGCATGCCCTCAAGACGGCAAGCTCGAGCCTCGTGAATTTCTCAACCGATAAACTCCGTCTGCCGATCCTCGCAACCGAATGCAAGTCCCTGTATGATCATCTAGCGTCACTTTTATCCCCAACGGCCGTCGAGGACAGAAGGACCAGCATTGACATTGCGATCATCCGTGAATCGATCAAACGCGTGAAGGCTTTCATAAGGTGGCTTCCCACCAATCGAATGCTAGCAGACCCAGTCGATCTGAAGAGCTTCACTCAAAATCAAACCATTCCACCGTGCCAGTGGCTGTGGACATGGCTTAGCTTAGCTTTCACCTGCCATGGTTGAACCAACCGCGGGAGCTTGTAGCTTTTCCAGCAGGCGGGGGCCCACCACAAGATGTGGCCATCAATTCAAGGCTCTATTCACAAACAACAACACGTAACCTGCCTGTCCGCTCCAATGATGGAGCAGCCGCAACCGGAGTCCAGGACACCAAAGCCTGGTGAGCTCACGAGCGGCTGTTCGACACTGGGGCTGGAAGGAACTGGAGCTTTAACTTTATCTTGCAACAACTGCAAGGAAAGCCATAGGGAGCGCTGACAAGCAACCAAGACAATGAAGTCTTCTTCCAACCAGCGCAGCAGCGTTCTCTTTCCCTTTTGAAGCTCCTTTGGATGAGGGGCCCTTGGAAGAGTGGCCTTTACCTTGGGCCTTGCACTCTCTCGCCCAATGACCAAGAGCGCCGCATTTGTTGCGCTTGGTTCATCTCAACCTTGACATCTTGTGCCTGTTTGAACTTTCTGGCACGCTGAAGTTGTCCCATTTCTTTTCGGCGTTCACACCAGGAAACAGCTAAGGCTTCAGCCACATCGGGTTCATCGTATGCCTCGGTGGTGTCCTCCGGCATGACTTGATGTTCCGCCAGGAATTGTTCAAGTTTGAAGAATTCTTCTTCTTCTTCTTCTTCTTCTTCAAGGCCGTCGGTCGATCCAGCAACGGTGGAATCCTCAACAAGGGGCACTGCAGCTGTACGGCGCTTACTTACGATGAAGTTGGGGTATAGCGCGGCCGATTTCCTCTCTCTTCAACACTCCAAGGGATCTAGCCAAGATCACTGCCTTTTGCTCGTCGGTGAGCCCAGAACGATGGAGGATCATCCAGCCTCTCGCCTCCTCCGGGAAGTTCACGTTCACCTTGCCTTGACATTTGTCAAACAATTCGGTCGCCCGAGCGATCCAAGCTTTGAGCGACTCTCCTTCAGTGGCCCTCAAGGCAAACGCTTCAGTCAATACCTCGAACATCTCATCCGAAGCATCTTCTGGCGGAAAGCGCTGATCCAGAAGCTCGAACAATGCTTTCTCTATCCTTGCGTTGGTAGGTGGAGGGCTCCAAATGGTCGACGCATTCCAATGCCTTCCCTGACAACAATGTGCACACGAAGGCGCCGCGAGCAGTTTCCGGCAGATTGTCTCTCAGCGTGAGGAGTTTGTTGGTCACCCTTCCAGCGTCGGAGCCACCGCTGAAAGTGGAATCTGATGAGCTGGCCATGGCGTTCATGCCTACGATCCGGCGACGGGGTCCTACCCTACCGGAGCCCTGAAATGCTACCTCCGACCGTCAGCGATGGGGCGCGCCTATTTTCCATCTCATGCCTTGAGCATCTGACGTTCCCCTGCGGTGGACGGCTGCTTTCAGCATATATATATATATGTGGTTTCTGTATGCTGAACGCTGGACCTCAACTGCCAGCGTTTACTAAAATCTAGCAGCACAGTTTGCAACAATGCTACAGGGACCTTGATCCTCCTTGTGATTGCCTATGACCTTTGTTTGACCCTGCTCATGACAGGGCAAGCTTGTCGAAGCATGAGGTGATCGTGAAGCACCTGCTGCTCCTGATGTGACAAGTGATCCGGTGGTGGACGCTGCACCAACTGCTACGCCAACTGATCCCAGTGACGCGGACCCGACACCTGACGGCGCTGCAAGCTCCGCTGAGACGAGGCCAACCCACCGCGCGCTAATATCAATTTGGTCCACAAAGGCATCTTTGCGCTTTATTGCTATTTGATGGATCTTGATGTCGTTTGAGACTATATATGTGTGTATATATATATATATTGATGCAAACCACCCACGTCAGCGCCAGGTGGGAGAAATGAGCGTGCTTTGTTGGCCTTTTGCAAGGCCTCTTCAAGGAACTGCTGGACGAGGACAACCGTTGAACGCGCAAGAAGGAAACAGATTTGAAACCAAATGCCCGCCCCAGACATGATACTGAATACTTTGATGATTTGGCGGGGCAGCGCGTACCGAAACCTTCAGAATTTAAAGCAAAAAAACGCGTTTTAGACTGTACAGAAATGCGATGATGTTATGCATGGGTTGTGCACTCAGTAACTTCAATGTTTTTTGGAAGGGTCCTTTTGTTTCCTGTGTATCGGATTTTGTCGGTGGGCATGCCACAGATTGGAAAAAACGCCTTCAATCAATGGCAAAAAGCAGTAGAACTAATGGTTTGTTTGGTGTTGTGCTGTGTTGCGTTTGCAGGCAGCTAGCTGTTGAGGTTCTATTTGCTTCGAAAGGATTGCATCCTGTCACGAGATGATGTCACCTTTGTGTACTACTTGTTTGCCTTCTTGTCCCCCCTGTCACGAGATGCTTTAGTTTAACAAATCGAACTTGCCAAAACCGACCACCACAAAGCGACCCCAAGAACAGTAAGGGTCCAAAGGGGGAGTGAGCACAGGCAAGCAACCCGGGCTAAGCAAAGCGTTTTCACGATCGAGCAACAACGTTGTTTGCAGTATGTTCATATGTTCGGTCAAGGTCTAATGCCAATGCCAAGAACGCACAACCAAAATGTTCACATCCTTGGAAGAAATTGTTGGCGTGAGACCTTTCCTCGTGCAGCCCTCCGCTCTCTCTTTCTCTCTCTCTCTCTCTTTCTCTGTGTGACCTCGCCTGATTGCAGCTCGACGACACTCTTCTTCGGTGTTCGGTGTCGTTCAAGTCAGACAGATTTTTCTCCCCAACTTTGAGGGCACGAAGTAGAACATCCTTCATGGATTTCGTGGGAGCGTTTGCTATTTGCTTAAATGTGGGAAACCATTTCAAACTATGAGTCCTTCCTTATCCTTCCTGTATCATTCTCTTGCTGATTAGAAGATCCAACGCCGTTAGGCGTTCCGCCGCCTGATCATACAGCACTTCTGCGTTTGTCACTAGGAGACCTGGTGCAGTGAACTTGGTGCGCCATTCTGGACCTTCATGAATCTTTCCGTAGCGAAGGGCTTCAAAGAGCAGCTGATTGTAGAGCTGGTGATCCGATGCCCGCGGCCATGCTGGATCGGACAACACGCCCCACCTTGTTGGAGTGGTACTCAAGCACGTTTGCTATCGTCGTTCAAGAGGTGAATCTCTCCTGACAGCACCATCATGTTTTTTCCCCAAGGCAGCGTCCAAGTATGTTGCAAAAAGAGGTGATCCCTTCAAGCACGCTTCCCAGCTTTGGCTGCAGCATGCATGTCTGCATGTCCTTCAGGATCTCATTCGCCTCCTTCGCTTCGGCACTCGTCGCTGCATCAACCCGTTGGGCTAAAGAGCGAATCTTGTACATGTATGTACTCTGGAAAAACATGTTGTGATGGCCACCAGCCACCTCATCTTCATGATCAATTGCCCAAATGCAGTCAAGTCTGTTGGCTGCAACTTGCCTTTGTGCTCTGGCATGGTCATTGGCTGGATCTGCGTGACATAGTCCGTCATGTCGTCGACCATCTTTTCTTTGGGAAATGTTTCATCTTCATTCCCAAGTAGCCCATTCCTTGTGGTCCTTCTCCCAAGACTTGATGTTGATCTCGCAACAGAAACCATCATCAACGTGAAGGCCGCAAAATGCATAACATGCACCCTGGTGAACTGCTATGAATGTGCTTTGACAAAAAGGTCATGCCAACTTTCTGTAGAAACTCCACGGCCCATAGATACAGACGTGGTGCCTCAGACAAGCCGCAAGCCGATTGCACGACCCTCAAGAGCTCGAATGGTGCCTTGACATAGACCTTCTCTCTCTCTCTCTCTCTCTTTGCGTGCTTCCCAGCTGCTACATCGAATGCGTAGCACAGCCAATTCAGTCTCACTGCAATGCTTTTCATCATGCGAATGGCCGTTGGTGATGTGGTTTGACTATCACTGGGGTGTTCTCCTAATCCTGGGTCAGTGTGACCTGGAATGACCACAGGTGACTTTGCCTGCAATTTATTTGGATCTTTGAACTTGTTCACCCGGACAACTCTGAGTGGCAAACGAAAGATGGCTGACTTCAGAACCCTTCGAGCTTCATCGGACGACAAACGACGCACAACCCCGTTCCGAATCCGCGCTTCCACTCTTTCATGTCTGAGTCCTGAAAGGCTTTCGCTTCTTCTTCGCTGAACCACCGAGGATTCAGTTCTTTTCCAGAAGCTTTCAACAAGCAAGATGGTCCTGTAGACCTCCCACTCTTCTCTCTTTGAACTAGCTCTTTCCATGCTTCTGTGGACCCTTTTCCTTTTGGTTCTTGGCCAAATTGACCTGAAACACTTCTCTTCCGATTTGCAAAAAGACCTTTTCCTGTTCTTTCTGGCCGTCCTCCTTTCTTTGGGTCTTGCAAAAAGCGTCAGACCTCTCCATGGCATGGAAATTATTGTTTTTTGTGTTTGCACTCTAGTACATAGTATGTCTACCTTGGACTGGGGAAATCGGTTTTGCTGCAGGCGTTCCAGATGGGTTTTACAGCAACCAAAAAGTGCATCCAAAGGATTCGTGGAGGAAATTGGCTTTGCCGCAGGGGTTCCAAATGCGTTCCAAGTTGGTCCGCATCGTCCAAACATGCACAACACATCAACAACTTTCGTGTGCCAGCACGCGCGTGACGAGTCCCGCCACATGTGTAAGGAAACAACCATATAAGGTCGAAATATGTCCGAAAATACCCACTTGCATGTTTTTATGTTTTTGAAAGGGCGGAGTTGCGCTTTTGGAATTGCAATGTCGTGGTTCTGCTTGAGTGTAGCATGACTGTTGAAAACAAACCAAACTGAACTCATGCTGTTTGGCGTCGATGCGAAAGTACGCGCTGCGGGAGCTGGGGTGGGAAGATATTTTTTTGCATTCCATGGGAAGCGGCGAAAAGACTAGGAAAGTGTCGCAAGGATCGGGAGTGTCATTGCAAACGAGGTAGAAACCCGACTCATGGCCATAAATTTCGGCAATTCAAGCAGTAATCACTGCGCAAAGCAACTGACTGTCTCATTTTCTCTTGCAGTTTCGCGTTTCTCGTCGTGCAATTTTGCATGTAGAAAACAAGGCCACACACTGTTGGTTTGCAGCTGGTTCCTTTGTTTCCGTTCTCTCTCTGCTGCTGTTGTTTGTGCCCTCTCTTTTTATTTGCTCGCCCTTCACTCGTCGTGTAGCTCCTGGGCGTTCTTTGCAGCCTGTAGAGATCGTTTGCTTTCTGCATATGTGTAGGCGAAGTCGCCAGTGGTGTAGAGTCACCGGGTGGAGTGAACGTGAGTTCATATTGTGCATGTCGTGGTGCCCACATGTGCCCACGGTCGGGTTGTTGTCGTCTGACTCAGACTCTACGAACTCTGACAACTTGTGGCGGTTGCTCGCAGCACTCGCTGGTGTCACCAAGCCGAATGCCTGGTGTCAAAACACTGCAGAGCTGTCACCTTTGTGAATGTTATCTTTGTCGATCTTCTTGCGTGGTAGCAACACTCCCGATGGTGGCAGGAAGCGAGGCTGTCTATTAACGAACAGGCCATGGTAGTAGTAGTAGTAGTAGTAGTAGTAGTGAGTGCTTGTTGTCGACAAGTTCCACAGGCTTGCTGTGGTAGTGCTTGCTCTTGCTTGAAAAGTGTCCTGTGGTAGCGTTCTAATGTCCATGGATATCTGAAGAGCAATAGGGTGGTGCATTGGGCACTGTCATGTTGCCAAGTTTTGTGCCTGCTATCATTTTGTTGCTTTGCTTCCAGTGTTGGTTTGTTGTCGCTTTGAAAGATATTGAGAGTGCGGCCGCATTGCAGTACAAAGTATTGCCATGATCTCCTCATCCGTTTGTGCTTTGACGGAGGCAAAAAATCTCTTTGTGTGACTGGTTGTCGTTCAGTGTTCTTCTTGTAGGCGTTTTTTTGCCTTTCGTTCGTGCGCATATTGGACACCAACTTCAGTAGGGTAAGTGTGTGAGTTTGTTTTTCCCGAGAGCGTCTGCGAATGGTTCTTCGTAAAAAAACATCTGCAGAATACATCTTCACATCTTCACCTCTGCACATTCACATTCTCACCTATATCTCTGCTCATCTGCACATTCACATCTCTCCTCATCTGCTCACCGATATCTCTGCTCATCTGCATATCGACATCTCTCCTCATCTGCTCATCTGCACATCTACATCTCTCCTCATCTTCACATCCTCACATCTACATCTCTGCTCATGTTCATCTTCACACATCTACATCTCTGCTCATGTTCACATCTGCGTATGTACATCTCTGCTCATCTTCACATCCTCACATCTACATCTCTGCTCATCTTCACATCCTCACATCTACATCTCACATCTTCACCTCTCGCTCTTCTTTACTTTCTCTCTTAAGGCCGGGGG